AGTTAAGGACGGTATTTGAGACTTGAAACACATCAGAGTTAACCTACAACAAGAGTATATATACTGAATGCCTTGTGCCTTTTGAGGTTTGTCATTTTTGTTTAAAAGCTTGCCAACAACAAAATGCAGATGGAAATCCAGCATGTCAGGAACTGGCAAATTTCTCATTAACAAATTAGTAATCATCTTAGAACTACAGAGCTGGAAGGGACCCTATGGATCACCACATCCAGCCCCTGTCAAGGAGACAGAGCGAGGAATCAAACTCCCAACCTCTAGTTCCACATTCAGAGACCTGGAGCGATCCAGCAGTTCAAGCTAGCTGCTAAGTTAAACAAGCAGGCATAAGTCCAAATGGCAATCCCCACTAGAGTAGGTGCATCGATTCAAAAGCTGAATGTTGAGTCAACGTTTATGTAAATCCCTTATATTCAGTAGGCTTACTCTAGCTGGGACTGACAATTGGATTGTGTCCACAGTGTGCTTCCAAAGATCATTCTTATTTTACTCAAATGTCAGCTTCTTCAGCCTCGGTCTGGATCAATGCTCACCTGTAGCCCATATTTAAACTTTTTTCTTGTTTATTTCTTAGGTAGAAAGTTGACGGGTCCATAAGGGTGTTCAGGAGGAGAAGCTCCACTGGTGTGCTTGGTGGTAAAAAGAAAAGAAGGATATTCTTAACTGAACATAAGCATAGGATGCATTTTGACATGTTTTCATAAGTAGAAAGATTTCAATGTGGGGCACTTTCAATTCTGCTATTCTTTCTATACATATAGTGTAGTCCTATGGAATGCTACTGTCTCAGATGAACAGTTATTTGAATTTGCTCTGAGTTTCACAAACTGAGAATATATCATGCAAGAATGCTATACAGTAGCTCTTTTTAAAAATCAAATAGTATCTAACAGAGACTGTGTATCAGATGTAAATGCATCTTGCTATAATATTCTTGCAATGAGACAGATCTTAACAACTCAATTCTTTTAAAGTTTCTTTGTATATATTTTTTAAATAATAGGCCTCTCTCTCTCTCTTTTATAGGCACGTTATATCACTTAAAGAAATAGTAGCACAATTTTGGGAATTCAAAGGATTATTTCTGTATCCATGGAAACCTGGACAGTTGTTGTATTTGCATGATCTATCTGTTGCTAATAAGGAACATTTCCCTCCTTCCAGGAAATGCCTGCATAACATATTTCTAGGGCAGCAAATGGAAGGCATCTTTGGAATTACTGTAATGACCACTTATCTGTCAGCTCTTAGAAATTCATCACTAACAGGACGAAAAGTTGGACTGCGTGACATAAATAAATAAATAATAAATAAATAACAGGATGGAAAGTTGATTCTGGAGAGTTGATAAAGCTTATGGGGTTTTGCCAAAAGGTAAGTTTTTAACGATTTCCTTCCATCTGAAAAAGACATTTCTCAGATCTACGTATGAGCCCAATCAAGTTGCTCTGTCAACATTTATTCATGTCATCTTAAGAGCTCCAAAATAGGTGCCTTCTTCATAGCCGCCAGTCTTGTGGCCTTTCAGGACCATGGACAGGGGTTGCTCCAATTAATTCCTGTCCTATTCCATTGTGCATAAAATGTAGGGAATCTGCTTTGGGCAGAAGTCTTGAATACAGTGACAGCCATAATGACCTCCGTGGATGAATCTTCACATCGTTATACCTATAGATCTAATTATAGCAGTTTGATACTTCATTACCTGTAGTGGCTCCATCCTATGAGTCCAGATGCCCAGATTTGGGCTGTCACCAAGAGTGCATTTGCAGATTTACAAGTAGTGTGTCAACTGCACTTCTTCCTACAGAGGTCTGATTTGGCCATAGTGACACATACTTTAGTTACATCCCAGATGGACACATACCTTAGTTACATCCCTCTATATGGGTGACACATACCTTAGTTACATCCCAGCTGGACACATACCTTAGTTACATCCCAGGGTGGATACAGGCTTTATATGGGCCTGCCTATGGAAGGTAGGAAACTTCAGTAGGTCCAAAATGCAGCAGCCAGATTGCTGTCTGGAGCTAGACACAGAGATCACACAACCCTCCCATTACATCAGCTTAACTGGCTGCCAGGCCACTTCCAGGACCATGCCTGGACATCCTGCCTTCCACCTCTTCATCCCGTCCTATGCAGAAATCATGCAGACCTTCATGTATTCAGCACAAAGTTCTCTACAGATGCTTGTAAGCATATTTGCCCATACAATGTTCCATGAACTGACAGCCCTTCCTTATCTGGAGCATGCAATGGCCTGGATGACTTCCACATGGGAGGATAGGTCACAGGAGCTACAACATCACCACCATCAGTGAGACCAACTTGATATCAAGAAGACAGCTTAACTCACTGAACACACTAGCAATATCTGGAAAAGCAAGTTGCTGAGCCCAAAGGGTTTTGCCAGCCTTTATGGTGCCACAAAACTCTGTTGCTTTTTATGAACAAGACCAACAGAGCTTCCCCTCAAGAAATTTTATGTTTGTCTTGCATGGTTAGCCAAGACATTGTAAACCCGGGAAGAAAGCTAGGAGCATTTGCACTGGCCTCAGGGAGATCAAGAAACACAGCTTTCAACAGCCTCTAATAGCTTGTTCCAGTTCTCACACTCTCTCTCAAGTTGGCATCAGACCATGTTGATTTTCTGTGGCAAGCTATCACTTCCTCTAATTAAGCATGGTTTCTGGATTAGCTGTGGCTTTGCCTGACCTTTTCTGATCCTCACATTACCATACATTTTCCATTACTGTCTTTTGTCACATCTGCCTCTATTCATCATTTTGGCTCTTCTTTTTGAGATCAAATGCCTAGGTAGACCTCTTATCCACTCGCTCCAGCAGTTGCCAACCAGGTGCCTATAGAAGCATACAACTGCACCCATTGTACACTGACAGTCCATGTTCAGTCACATACCTTGTTTCCCCGAAAATAAGACAGGGTCTTATATTAATGTTTGCTCCAAAAATGCAGTAGGGCTTACTTTCAGGAGATGTCTTATTTTTTTCCTGTACAACAATCTACATTTATTCAAATACAGTCATGTCATCATCTTCTGGTTGCTGCACAATGGTGGAGGGTTGGGTTTCACTTAACAGGGGCTTATTTTTGGGGTAGGGCTTATATGACGAGCATCCTGAAAAATCATACTAGAGCTTATTCTCAGGTTAGGTCTTATTTTCAGGAAAACAGGGTGTTACCTCCAAAACTGGAAATCATCACCAGAGGCTGAACCTATTGCTATTTTAAGTATAAGTTAAAGTCTACTTATGCCTTGCCTTTTCTCCAGAAGAGTCAAGGCAACAGACATGGCCTTCCTCCTCTCCGTTTCATTTCCACCAAATAAGAGAGGAGAGGCTGAGGCCGTGTGACTGGCACACTGAGTTCTGTGGCTGAATAAGGATTTGAACTCAGATCTCTAGAGTTCTGGCCCAACATTCGAAACACTGCACCACATGTGTTGTCTCCTGAGTCTCTGGACTGCAACTCCTGCACAGAATGATGCTGACTGGCACACTGAGTTCTGTGGCTGAATTAGGATTTGAACTCAGATCTCTAGAGTTCAGAATGATTTATGGGAGTTGTAAGCCAACATCTGATTTACATATATTGATGGTTTTATTTGATTGTATTTTATAATGTTTTATTCTTTTTTGTAAGCGGCACCGAATAGACTCTGTCTCGAGGGGCGGGGTATAAATTGAATAATAAATAAAATAAAAATAAATAAATATCTAGATCACAACAGACAGGTAATCCTGATCTAAGTCATGGGAAAACTGCCAGACACATTTTACAATATATTTGCTACATGACAAATGATACACATAATTCAGCTGCAAATCTTGGTTTTTTTAAATTAAAACAAAAAACCCACAGAGATGAATCATTGTATTTCCTCAAAAAACACCCCATCTTCAGAAAGACTTCAACACTGCAAATGCTTCTGTAACATTTACGTATATTCGGTGAAAACAGTTTTCCTTTCAGCGAAATGGCAGACTCTGGGGTTCCAGATTCTGATGTCATCCAAGGAGGAGATGTGGCCAGTTCAGAATATATATATTTATCTCTTCAGCTCTACAATTCTATGCTGCAGAAATTAGGAAGCACATCTTTGTACATATGTCATATTCCTAATTTCTGCAAATGTTTTATACATTAGCAAAGCAGCAGTAAATTGTCTCCATGGCATTATAAATTAGATAAAGACTTATCAGATATTTGGAACATTTCTTAAGGATCTCCTAGCTATGCCAGGGGAGAGAGCGTATAGCAGGAGCCCCCAGTTTCCATGTCACTCAACTCTTCCCTGGCCATTATTATTCAAAAATGTCGGGCACAGTTAATCAAAATTATAAAAACATTGACTTATATAGCAGATACAAGTCTTAACTAAAAATCTAAGTATCAAATATCAAGGCAGTATGTATGCAGTTCCTAATATTGCCATTTTTGTAGCTCTGATTGTGCAGTTTCTGAGGACTGCAACAGCTTATAGTACTGTGTGAAATTTCTTGATATTGTCCCCAAAGCCCCAATGATTATGGGGACCACTGGAGTGTGTTTCATCCACAAATGAGATGTTTCGATGGCCAAGTCTCTGAACTTTTTTAGTTTTTCCAGTTCCTTATTTTCAACTCTGGCATCCCCCGGAATTGTCTCAAGGGCTCATGAGGCTAATCTTGGTGTCTAAGGAAGAGGAGGAGGAGGAGGTTAAGGTTGAGAACCTCCCAGCTCACAGGAGGGAGCCTCCCAGGCAAATTCCTTGGCTCTCAAGCCTTTTCTCCTTGGGAGAAGGAGACATCAAGTGTAGAGGTCTCCCTGAGATGATGTTTTTCCCCTGAAAGGGAAATAGTGGCTCCAAACCTCCAGCTGAGTCCCTTTCCTAACTAACCAAGGACCTGCAGCTGAGTTCTGTGTAGGCTTCCCACAGCTGTGTTGGATAAATCTCAAGCTGGTCCTTTGTTCAAGAGCATGTTTCTTCTTCCTCAGATCTTGCCTGGTGCTGCGCACTCTTTAATGTGCATGACTTCGGGGCTGGTTGTCTATGCTTATTCAACCCTCTCTATCTGTTTTCTGTTACGGCTGGCATCTAGATTACTGTTGGAATATGCCTTTAGATCGCCTGCATTTGATGGCTTGACTTTAAGGTAAGTCTCTGTTGGCTACATGTCTGTGTTCCCTTGAGCTTGATTCTGGACTTGCCTCTCGCTGGACCCATTTTTGCCTCAGCCTGCCAAGATCTTGCCTCTGAGGCCAATCCATTGGGGACTAAGGCAATAATATTAATGTTGCCTTAAGGTTCTCAATGGCCTAGATTCAGTAATTCATGTTCATTTAGGCACTGTAGAAACCTACGCTGAATACACGGTGCAGTCAAAACCTGGTTAGTCACTGTGCTTCTTCTTTTCCAAAGCACTGTCAGTTCTGCATTGATGCTTGAACTGACATTTCTTTAATTCTATGAGATGATGTTGAAAGGCAGTAGGTAGCTTAGAGAGAAACGGGGTGTTTTCTAGGCTGGAATCCTAGGCGTTTCCAGGTAGGACTAGAAAAACCGTCCATCTGAAACTCTGTAGAACTAGTTGAGGTCAGCAATACTGGGATAGATGGACGAAACATTTGAATCAGTAACAAGCGGCTTTCATTGATAATTTTTATGGATACCTACCTTGATTTGAAAGTATAAATTGTAATCTACTGCCCAATTCCACCTTTGTAGCCATCCAAATGGAAGTGATTCATCTTTAACCAATAAATCAATTGAACATGGCATCTTCAATATAGATTTAGATTTATGGAGCTGTTCACAAATGCAAGATACCTGAATTCCAGAGCAAGCTTTTCTTTAAAACAGAAATGAAGGTTGAGCAACAAAAGCTTGGGCCATTGGATCCTGAGAAATTCAGACTTTCAGGAATGACGGGGAATTGGGAAGAAACTTTTTGGCTGATTGTGCATTGCCTGTTTTAGTTCAGAGAAGAGAGGGTGGGGTAAGCAATACATCTGTGCTTGTTTAATTTGCAAGCAGGAGGCCTAGCATAATAGGCTTCTGGCTTGTTTGTAATATCTTTATTATTGTTTTCATGGCTTTCTAATGCAGCTACTAAATTATCTTGCTACAGCTGTAGCTGTAGCTTGTTTGGGTAAAATAAGATCTTATGCACACGTCCCAATTAGTTTTCCAGATGAAGAACCCAAACACAGATGCATTTGCTCACAGACACAGCCCTCCGTTCTAATTAACATTAGGCTATCTAAAGAAGTGGATCTCTCTGCAGAGAATACAATCAGCCAGAGTTTGTCACCTTCTTTGCAAGCTAGGCTTTTCTGAGCTGGTTGGCAGACAGGCAGTAGCTCCAGGAGAAGAGCAAATCTGATATGAAGCTAGGTGGGAAACCCTTACCTGCAAGATGTAAGGGTTGCTTTAGTGTCAACGCAGTGACACTAAACATCTATGAAGGCACAATATGGTATAAGAGTTGAAGTGTCAGGCTTGGGAGATGGAGGTTGGAGTTCTTATTGAACTATGAAGATTACCGGGTGACTATGGATCAATAGCTCTTTCTCTGCTTCACTCAGATTCTAAGGCTTAATCAGAGGATTTAATAAACCCTCTGTCCTGGACTCATTTGTTGGATTTGAGCAGAGGAACTCCACATCAGGATCAAATGAAATGATAAGCTTAGCACCTTTTTTTTGAAGAGGTGCTCCACCAAGTGGATTATAAGCTCTGTTTGTCATCACACATGAGTCTCCTTGCCTACATCCTTAGCATTTAACCGTGAATTGTTTTGTCGTTTGCAATTGGAAACATAAATATGAGTTTACTTTACAAGTTTGATTGTTGAAGCAATCAACAATCCACTGGGGGAGCCTTTATCTCGGGCAGCAAAATTTATTGGTTTGCCCTGTTGCTAATTTAAAGGGTTACAACCCTGTAACTTTCATTTTTTGAAGTGGAGTATTTGTCATTTCTAAAGTAACCCCTAGTGCCTAGTTTGACATGTTTGTATGGATCTAAGCTTCACACACACACACCATCAGAGGTCTAGTGCAGTGGTCCCCAACCTTGGGCCTCCAGATGTTCTTGGACTTCAACTCCCAGAAATCCTGGCCAGCAGAGATGGTGGTGAAGGCTTCTGGGAGTGGTAGTCCAAGAACATCTGGAGGCCCAAAGTTGGAGACCACTGGTCTAGTGCAGTGGTCCCCAAACTTGGGCCTCCAGATGTTCTTGGACTTCAACTCCCAGAAATCCTGGCTAGCAGAGGTGATGGTGAAGGCTTCTGGGAGTTATAGTCCAAGAACATCTGGAGGCCCAAGGTTGGGGACCACTGGTCTAGTGTATTCCATATTGCTGGATGGCTGTAAGGATAACTATAGCTATGTCAGGGTGAGCAACCTCTGGCCCTCCAGATGTTGCTGACCTGCAGCTCTCATTATCCCTAATCATCATGGCCAAGGATGATGGATGCTTGAGAGTTACATGTAGTCCAACCCAATTTACATGAAGGTTTGTAGTGCTGTATCAATGATTATGATGAAAGTAAAAATCATGAAGTCTTTGGGCCAAATCTTTTTGCCTAACCCTGAACACAGAGAGATTTGTAGAGATCTACAAAGAAGGGATAGGGAACTGCTGCCCCTCTAAGTCTTTGGCCTACAGCCCTCACTAACCCACTCAGAGAATTGCCAGTTTCATCCATTTGGGAATTCTGGGTGTTTCCTCTTCAATGCCTCCAACCCTGGAGGCATTCAAGAAAAACTTAGACAACCACCTGGCAGATCAGCTTTGATGAGAAAAACTTAGACAGCCACCTGGCAGATCAGCTTTGATGGTATTCTTGCATTGAGCACTGGGTTGGACTTGATGGCCTTGTAGGCCCCTCTTTTCTATGATTCTATGAAGTCTGCCCAGCATGTCTGCTATGGTGCTTCTTCCGGGCTTCTCCCAATGGCATTATGGGCTGATGTCCACACATCTATGTGTTCCCTCCCCTGTCCTCTCCCCTTACTCCTAGCTTCTTAGTAGAACTGACATTGCACAAGAACACTATATGGTCAAAGGCCTCCATGGTGAGCTAGGCTGTCAGCAAGGAATGGATGGTGATGAAGGGTCTTGGCTTTAAAATCCCCTCAGATGTACAAAATCAGATTTGGCCTTCCAGAAGCCCTGCTTGCTTTGAGATGCGTCTTCCTGGCTGGAGACTTCAAGGAGCACAATATTTCCCAAAGGCTTCATTCAGCACAATGCTGAAACCCTACCTACGCAGTATGGCCATTAGAAAATATTGGAAACAATACCATGTTTCTGCTGGGGTTTTCCTCCCTTATATTTCATGTATGATCCAGACTTTCCAAGTGCTAAAGGAGCAATCCTGCTACCTTCAGTGTCTCAAAACATAATACATGACTTTCTATTTCTTTATAATGAATTAAATGCAGAGAAGCCAATGAAATATTGGGAAAATGCCATTCCACACCTTCTGCTTGAAGAAAAAGTGAATAGTGGATGACTATTCAGCCTTCCCAGCAGTTCTTTGTAAAGCAGCAGTAAAACAGGAATGGAAAACTGAGTTGGGGAAGGTGAGCGGAAGGCAGTCATGTTCCTGAATTGCCAAGATGGCATCAGGAGGGCTTTCATTAGCATAACAAAATGGCAGAGAAATCAGGCTATACAATACATTTAAGTTCGCTCCAATGAGAGTAGGACCAAAAAAAAGCATTTAAAAATAACAGTGTCACAAATCTCCCAGGGATTGCATTCGTTTGAATTCACTGGATCGTGCGGAGAAAACACAGTCTGGATCTCAGTAACCATTGTTCAAAGTATCTGGGAAAGGCCAATGTGTCAACAGTGTCCCTGTTTCGTTTTCTTTCCCACTCCTACTTATCAAACTATGGGGCTTCCTAAACTGGCAAGCCGTTTGCAACTATCACAAAAGCTATTAGGAGGTGTGAGGAGCAAATTAGGTGCTAACAAGTAGACACATGCCGTCAAGTGTTAAGCCCTTGCTGAGTAAAAATAGAAGGTGGCTGAGGAAGGAGAAGGCAGATCTGAAACGCAGAAGGCCAAGCGCTTCTTGTTGTGTTCCATCAAGTCACCTCTGTCTTATGGCGACTAAATGAATGAGTTAGTTCCAAAAAGTCCCATCTTCAACAGCCCTGCTCAGTTCTTGTAAACCCAACCCCTCTGGAAGTTATGGAAATCAATCAATCTCATTTTTAGTCCTCCTCTTTTACTGCTGCCATCAACTTTTCCTAACATTATTGTCTTTTTCCAGTTAGTCTTGCCTTCTCACGAAGTCCCCAAAATACCACAGCCTCAGTTTTGTCATTATGGCTTCCAGAGAAAGTTCATACTTGATTTGATCAAACTGGTTACAGAAGACCATAGCTTCAGTCTCCTCGGGCCTTCATGGGAAGGAAAGACAGATCTGTGACAACACAATGGAATGGGTTGTCATCAGTTGTGAGTGACAGGCTCCAATTTATATGACTTTAGAGGGAGAACACACAAATTCAACAGAGGATAAATCTATGCCGGCTGCTAACCCTGATTGTTTCTAGAATCAGAAATAGGGTACAAAAAGATAATGTAGGCCTTTGGTCTGATCCAGAATGGTTTCTTTTAACCCTTATGGTAAGAAATAAGACAGAACCTGTAAATTGCATTATTTTGTATTTTATTCAAAGTGGCAACCATTTTCTACTAGCACTCTTATATCCCATTCCTCTAAATTCTCTTATAACCCAAATATCATGGTGTCCCAACCTAACTGAATCTGAGTCTCTGCCACAAAAGAGGCTCCTGTTTTCCCTGGAGATATGTTATGAGCACCCTGCTATATTTATATTTTATATTGGGGTTTAAGAATGTAAAATTGCAGTATTGTAGGGAGTAAACTCAAAGAAATAAAAAATATATTAGAAACTGAAAATTGTAATACAGTGGTACCTCGACTTATGAACTTAATCCATATTGGAATTAAGTTTGTATATTGAAAAATTCGTAAGTTGAGGCAAATTTACATAGGAATGCATTGAAAACCATTTAATCCGTATCTGCTGTTTTCCATTCATATGTCGAGGCGCTGTTCGTAGGTAGAGGCATTAGTTCCCATAGGAACTAATGCTAAGCCAGTTAATC